GATGTGTGCCAGCCATACTTTGAGACCTATATTAATTTTGTCAGAGGGACATAAAGGACTGTTTTGGCTCCTTGCCCTCCTAGGTCAACTAAGTTCCAGAGGACTATGAGCATCTCTCAAAATGTCCTGTAACTGTTGTGAGTCACCTGTTCTCTTGATCAAGGAGGCCACCTGTTCTCTTGATCAAGGAGGCAGTGGAGACCCAACCAGATGGACTTGAACCAGTGTCCAGTCTACAAAGAGGAAGGTCAACACAGAGCAAACATTTCCTTCATGCTTCCAAGAGAAGCCAGCCATGCTCGAGTAGGACCTTTGACTTATCTTCACATAAACAGAACTGGTAAAAGAAAGGAGTCAGGGGCTCCTCCCAAGCCCATATTACCCCTGAGGAAGAGATCCTCAAATGATCTTAAGAGTAAAAATAAATTAGTTTATCTGGGCCAATTGTAGGGTCTTAAACACCCAAAAGGAAAATATAACCAAAGACCAAAGAGAGTTCATATGTATAGCTAAAGGCTATATAACAAGAAACAATACCAGACAGGAGATACCTTCCTTTGAGTTATTGGCCAGGGTGGCCCAAAACACTCCCAGATAGTAACCCAGCATAGAACTGGGAAAATGAACAGCAGACTCCAATCCTATCTGAAGGAATATTGACAACTGATTGCTGCCAGATGAGGAACAGCTGATCTTCCTAGAACAAGGATCTCTAGATAGGCTGACTAGATTCAGTGGATGGACAAGCACTGGGGAATGGCTGGGGGTGCCAATAACACAGTGGTCAGTAATAGGAATTACAGAGTACATGGGATCCAGTTTGGGGGGGGTTATGGGAGGGTACCATTTGGGAAGTGGGTATATAGATGAATAAGATTGGCATGTTCTGTATGATACACACACAAAAAACCCAATACATTTAAAAATGACTTATATTTGAAGAGGAAAGATAAAAATTTACTTTATGTTAATTAGTAGAGGTGATAAACAGTACCATTGAAATCTACCTGATGACTTTAGATCCATACTCAGGTGCCAAGGATCCGAGTGTAACTGACTGTGACTAGTAATAATCAGATACATCGAGATTAGAGACACATGTACAAACAGGTAAGCGTTAGTAGCATTAAAAATGAGTCTTCCTGTAAGAAACAGCATATTTTAAAATGAAATGGAGAGCTTTTTTAAAGGTTAAAAACTCATTCAATTCTATGTCTTACAGAATTTATACTGAGTACAATATTGTATGACTGTATTAAGTCAACCGTTAACCTAAAAATTTACAGCCACTTTTGAAAGAGATGTATCCTTGCTCTGGAAATTGTTATTGAATATGTTAAAGCTGTAATGAAATGCTTCTTCTAACCATATGGTTATTAAATTAAAAAAATAAAAATAAACAAAAAAGAAAGTGACATAAAAATGAATTCAGTCACCACAGATTATGTTATCAAAGGTGTGATCACAAAAAAGAGGAAATTTCACCTTATTGCTGTGAAATGTGTGGTGTTTTTGCTTTAAAAAGCAAAGATTATAAGCATATTTAAGTGATGGTAAAATAATATGCTAAAGAAGAAGAAATACAGGATATAGGTGAAAATGTATATGCCATTTCCTAAGAATTTAGGAAGGTATAATAAGGTTACTAGAAAGGTTAATTTAGAGATTTAAAGCATACTTCTTACATTATATGAAGAAGGAAAGGAAAGAATGTGTATCAAAAAACTATACTCCTTCTAAGGCTCAGTGATCTTCAGGAAAGAGGCAGCAGAAAATTTGTATGTGTCAGAGGCTGTGAGTGACTACAAAGAAACAGTGTTTTCTGGACACAACAGGACAGTTGTGCATATGAATTCACAGCAGTTGTGACAGCATGCACAAGACCGGAGCAAGCTCAAGCTAGACAAAAGCCCCACCTTTAGCTGAGGAGCTATGGGTAATTGATAGCTGCTAGGAGAGGGAGAGTCCATTTGCTTTCAAAGGGTAACTTCTGGCAGGTTAACCATGCGCCAGGGTATGGCCCACACCCAGGAATATTTGGGGAACACTTATTGAACTCAATGGGCTTAAGAAAAAAAGAAGACATAAGGAGGTGGTAAGGAAGTGTACGTGGATCTGAAAAGAGATGTGGAGGAAGTTGAATATGGTCAAAATACATCGTATGAAAGTCTCAAAGAATTAATAAAAATATTATTTAAAAGAGAGAAGCCTAAAGATATATAATTGTTACGGAGCTAAGTGATTGTCAGGTGCCTCATTTCAAAATGGCCCCAGTGGAGATAACCACCTCCCAGTGCCTTCAAAAGCTGGCACTGGGAACAGCATCTTTAAGCCCACACTGCTATGAAGGGCTGAACGGTTGATTTTACAGAGGTAAATGAATCCACTCCCTGTTAGTGTGTTCTCTGTGAGTGAGGGGTAGGTGTCATTCACTTACTGCATTTAAGGGTGATAAGAAAGTGGTCAGGAGAAACCTGGAAAGATTGCATGGAACATGAAGAGCTAATCTAAATTAGTGGTGACCCAATCCTAAACCATGTGCCTTCCTCTAGCTGTTGCCCACTGTCACAGAAGAACACTCACACAGCAATCAAAGCTAGCAAGGCAAGGGAGAGCAGGCAGTTTCTGAGAACAGTGGTCAAAATATAACCATGAAATTGCCGTGCATAGGGAGATGACTTTTAAAAAGCTGGAACTGATAGATGAACAAAGTAATCACATGAAGGAACGGCAAGTCCTGATGACTCAAAAGACAGGCATGGTAGGAGTGAGAGATCTACTGATGAGCTAAAAATTATGATCAAACAGTAGGATGTGGAAACCAGTGGTTCTGATGGGCCAATATCCTGTTGTGACAGTCTCCAGTGTAGCCCAAGACTGATTGGCTGAGGTGGAATAGAGAAAAGTTCACGATAATGAGCAGGTCAGGGAAACAAGAGACTCAACAGGTCATCTACAAGGACCACGAACTCATCTCTTCTGATATGAACATGAAGAGAATGTTCCAGACCAAATACCTTATGCATTTATAGGTGTTTCAGCTAAAGCAGAAAGGTGAAGTCTGGGTTCTGTATGTCCTTACTTTTCAGGGAATGTCTGCAAGCCCTAGACATAAAGCAGGATGAATTTGGCCTTGAAAAAGTCCTTTTATGAAAGGTGGGCACCCTCCTGGGATAATTCACACTTGTTCTGAACAGACAGAGGAGTATAGGCTTTTTTTTTTTCTTCTTGTTTTCTGCAATGAACAGAATAACAGATGGTCCACTAAGGGAGTCTTTAAGAACGGTCATCTCAGCCAGGGGTAACTTCCATGGGGGCTGGTGGTTTTGAGTATGAAGAGCTGAATTATATAACTACATAGTGGGACTAGAATCTCAAACTGTCTTACTTCTTCTGAGTAATCTTTATTAACTCCACTGGATTGAGTTAGGAACCCCTCTTCTGTGTTCTCATAGCATGTGGGGTATCTCAGTACCCATCATGCTGTCACAGACTTTTCTAGCTAAATTATTTCTTCATCCTAGGAGACAACAAGCTCATTAGGGAGGGAATTCATGTCTATGTTGTTACCATATTCCACCAAAGTATGTGAACCATAGGAAGTGTGCCATATATACTAATGGGATGAATGAGTATTTTTTTGTCTCTGTGTGTGTGTATGTGTGTGTGTGTGTATGTAAGTTGTAATAATTGTGATAAGAAGAAAAGTTTGGTGGCATAGGAGAAATGAATAGAAAATAAACTAAGTGCCTTTTCTCTTGGGAGGCTCTTGACATTAGAAATCTCTCATCTGAAGAACAGCTGGAATGAAAGAATCATTTACTGAGGTCCTAATACTAGTTCCAGATGTTTGCAATCATGTCATTTTGTACCTCACCCTGCAGAACATATTTCCCTTACCACCCTCACCATGCCAACCGCTGTTCCACTATGGCTGACAGAGTGGAGTTCTGACTCTTGTATCTAGTAATATCATCTCCTTCTGGCTACTCAAAGACAAGCAGACATCAGGCAGGTGACAGCCCCTATAGTTCCTGCATCAAAGAAGGCATGACCCATATGACTTGAAATGCTCTGAGTTACTTCTGGAGGATGTCCTAAATACCTTCCGTTTAACTGCTCCATTACAGACATGGCCACCACCCTCTTCTCTGCTCCTATAGATAAAAGTTATTCCTTTTAATTCACATTGCTAACTGCTCTCCTACACTTGAGAAGGTTTTTAGTCTAAGGTCCAGGATAGGATCATGAGTGTATGCTGAGGGAAGGTGAGGGAGCTGGGATGGCAAATGTGCACTGGAGGAATGTGAGCAAGGGAGAGTTTTATTCAATTCAAGGTGATTGTTGGCACCAGAAATAGAAGAGGATGAAGGACAGAGTTGAGTTTGACAGAGGCATCCTCTCACCATCTAGACATTCTTCTTGACCCAAAGCGGAGTCTAGATGAACAGTTTATATTTGAATCGGGTTGGAGGGGCAAAGAATAAATAAAGATAAGACACTTGGGAAGAAAGTGAAAAGTAAAGGCAGATATCACGAGGAGACACATTCAAAGAAAAATAAAAGGAAGAGTTAGGAAAGGATGAAGAAGAGGAGAATCAGAAAAGAGTTGAGAATTGGCAGGAGGTAAACCTGGTGCCTGGTACCAATCTGCTAGGAAGAGGCCCATCAGACTCCCAGATGCCAGGACAGAAAGGGGCACTGACCAGCTCCAGATGTTTATGCCTTTTGTGAGGACTGAGTTGGGGGGAGGTGGCAAAAAGGGCCTGTTGCTTCTGTGAGCAAGCCAAAAGAGTCAGCTGGCCTTCCAGCCCTGAACCAAACAAGCTGAAACTAGAAATCCCATGGGGACAGAGCAAAGCTTCTACTTTTAAAAATATTTAATTTTAAATCCATCAAGAGAAGAGCACAGGCTTGAAGGAAATATGTACAGGCACTTTATCACAGTGGGTATTGGGAGACTGTAATGCAGGGTGCAAGCCATCCCTTCCTTTACTCACATTTCTGACCCATGCGTCAAGGAAAGACGATTCAATGCTCCTTCTACTCCAAAGTTTTGGGAGTCTTAGCAGCTGATATAAAGAAAGAAGACAAAGTAACAATCCAAACAAGGCATACCCCCCTACAAAATCAGGACCCTCCAGTGCCATCTGTTGGCTACATTTCCCATCCTGCCCAACTACACAAATATCTCCTCGTTTCCTTCTGCCTCTCGGATTTTTCTCAATCACAGAAAACTATACTAGATATAACAAGGGCTGTTGGACTTTGGAAGGGGTGGGGGTGGTCAAGGAAAGAAACCAGAGCCCCAGTTCTAGCTAACTAACTCATCACGTGTATAACCTCTGGCCAAGTCCCTCTCCTCTGAGTCTGTAGGTCAAAGAGGGGATTTGGATTCATTAAGTCTGTCTGTGTCTCAGCCTCACTTCTCAGTTCCCCCACAATACACACAGACACATGTCTACTCTGCCCAAGAGGCTGGAACTTATGCCAATTGCTCTGATGAGGCCACGTGGGAGAACCAGACGTCTGTTTTTAATACTGATGACAGATTAGCGTGCGGGGAATTCAACCACCCCCTAAAACAAGCCCCATTTCTGCTCAAAACAACTGGAACAGAAGGCTACTTATGCTTGGCTTTCCTAACTGAGTCCCAGGACCCACAGAGCAATGGCTTCTCTGAAAGAGACAAAGCGGGAGCTAAACCCAGGGGAGGGGACAGAGCAGCAGTAGAGTGTGCCTTTCAATCGCTCACAGGGGTGTGGAGCAGATGGCAGTCATAAAGAGTATGTGTTTGTGTGCGCACACAGGAGAAAGAAATATGTGTGTATGCACCTATGTCTGTGTATGCACATACATGAGCTTCTGAATAAATAATTCCATCCCTGAACTTCGCTGCTGTAAAAAAATTCAGAGATCAAAGGAGAAAGCCTACATTTCCCTATACTGGCCTCACCTAACCAACTGTGTGAAAAATCCTCTTTTCAAAGTAAGTCTTAAACTTTGTTTTACTGTTTTCTTCCTGATATTTCTCTTCTCGTCTCTGCTCAACCCTTCTCCTCCCCCCATTTTCTAATTCATAAAAATAGGAAAAAAGCAATTAATGTTTATGACTACTGAATATGTCCCAAGAACTGTGTTATAAGTGATCTTCAAAATAGCTTTCCCATTCTACGGATAAGAACGTGAGACCTAGCAAACATGCCAATTCTCAGTAGCTTGCTCAGGAAGAAGCAGTTAAAATTGATACCAGAAGCCAGATTTTCCAAAATTGGGCTTATGTCCTAATTCATCTCACTAAGCTGAAAGAGTCAAATTCGGGCCAAGTTCATTTTCCAGAGGTATCACGGTTTGGATAAGAGATGCCCCAAACCAAAGGTTTATAGGTTAACACACAGTCCTCAGCTATTAGAACTAATCATTGAGAGGTATGTGCTTGAAGAATCTGGTTTCCAGTCTCCCCTCCTTTCCCCTCTCACCTCTGCCTCTTCCTCCCTCTCCCCCCTATTCCTTTCCTGGACTCCATGAGGTGAGCTACTCTTGCTACCATGATGTTCTGCTTTACCTCAAGCCCAAAGCAATGGTGTCAACTAACCATGGAGCGAACCATCTGAAATCACGAGCTAAAACAAATCTTTCCTCCTTTTTTTCCAGGCACATTGTCACAGCACTGCAATACCTAACACAAGAGGGTTGATACATATTAGAGATGCTATAAAGGTAATAGATGATGTAAACACTTCAGATATCTGCCTCTTCTTTTGGATTAAAGGATCTACACAGCCATGATACACTTTTGAAGACAGACTATGCACTGAGCTGGGCTCTAGATCTGCTTAACATTCCATAAAACTATACCATATTCAAGAAGTTACATGTCAGAGTTGAAACGTTAAGACATGTATATGGTTATCCATATACACACCTACTCAGCAAACATGTATGGCACGCACTATGGGAAGATGGGAAAATGGCCCCCAAAAGTACATCGGTAATGTAGAGATTGTACAACTAAAGTCAAGTCTCACAGGAAGGGTTAAAAGAACCTGTAAAGATAGAGGTGACGTGTAATTGTTTTCAATCTTATGAGTAGACATAAGAAGATGAAGTCATAGCTATGTGGGATGAGTAAGTAACTAGGAAGAAATAAGCTTATCTCAATGTTTTAAAAGGCAGGTTTTAGATCAAAGTACTATTTACTGTATACTATAAAAGAATTTTTGGATTCCTACCTTGGGCTGGATGTAATGTTAGGCAGTAAATCAACACATCTGACGACATAACCTTAAAAAGTTTTTTTTTTTTTAAATCACACACACCCTAACTAAGATTTAGAAAATATGAAACTGCAGAGTGTGTGTCCCAGGATAGAACTCCTACACTAAACCTCACCCTCCCACAGCTCATGGACCATTGTGGAAGTGGGAATGGAAAGTTTGTAAGAGCCAGTTGTGGGTTTGTGCATGATCATAACTTAGGCATAAGGAAACAGAGGCTTCCAGAACACTGAGAACTTGCTCATATGAAATTGTAATGATGGTGACAGCATGCACAAGAGCCATACTGACTCAATCAGACAAACACCCAGCAGGTCCCAAACCCAACTGTTGGCAACTGATTACTGCTGTGTGAGGGAGAATAGATCTTCTTTGAGGAAGTGACTCTAGATAGGCTGACTAGACTCCAGTGTCTGAACCTGCACCAAGGGACATCTGGGTACAAGTGTTTGACTAGATAAGACTTAACATATATGACAGAATGCATGAAATCTGGTGGAGAATGTGGATGGGGGAGGGGGTCCAAATTTGGTTAAGACCTATTATATGAAATGCACAAAGTCAATATTTTGTAAAACTCACACAGGAAAATACGTAAACATGTTTTACATTTTGGAAATCAGGTGAACAAAGAACAGATTCTGAAAGATGGAAAAGAAGTTGTGTGAGCTCTAAAACTTCCACTGCCTCAAGGAGAAACCCTAGGAGTTTCTCCTAGAGTGAGGAGAAGGGATGCTTAGTAGATCATCTGAAGTCAGAGTTCTGGGTTCAGAAAGATAAAAGTGATTAGAGTTAGTAGAAAAGAATGACGGATAGAGTTTCATAGAGAAAAATATGAAGAGCTCTAGGGAGGGTCCGCCTTCAATATTCAGCAGGGAACTGATTTGAAGTATGTGTATAAGTATGTGTCTACATATGAGAGAAGAGTGTCCTGTGCTCACATAATGGCCAGTAACACCTGCTACGATAAGACAAATTGGAAAACCTTACAATTCATCAATTCATGGGCTGCAATGTAGAGCACACAAAAGGAATAATTAGCCCAGGACTAAATATTAAATACTGTTCAAGTTCCACCTAAAAAATCTCTTTTTAAAATACATTTACTTATGTACTTATTTACTCTGTATGCGTGTGTGTGTGTGTGTGTGTGTGTGTGTGTGTGTGTGTGTGTGTAGTGTTCAGAGGACAACTTGGGATGGGAGTCAGTTCTCTCCTACCATATGAGTGCCAGGGAGCATTGAACTCAGGTCATCAGGCTTGGCAGCAAGTGCCTTTACCCACTGTGCATTTCATCAGTTCTTGGGGCTAGAGAGATGGATCAATGCTCCCTGTCCTAAACATGAGGACCTGAGTTTGGATCCTTATCCCCATGTAGACCCAGTATGGAGACAGGAGAATCCCAAGAGCTTGCTTGTCAGCCCATCTAGTTGAAGAGAAGAGTTATGGGTTCAATAAGAGACTTGTTCTAAAACATAAGGAAGAGAATTGTTTAAAGAAGATACCCTGATGTCAGCCTGTGGCCTGCACACATGCCTGTACAGGTAAGCACACTTGCATGCACATGCATGTACACATATGCACACACACACACACACACACAAATTATAAACTATGCAAAAGGAAGCAGGGAAATGAAACCCATAATGAGAAGAAAATTCAATCAATAAACCAACTCAGAACTGATACAGAGGTTAGAATTGGTAAAGACGTTTAACATTATTGTAACTATGTTTCATATACATTCCATTGGACAGAGGTATGTCTCAGCTGGTAAGGACACCTGTCACCAAGCCTAATGGCCTGAGTTTGATCCCCAGAACCAACATGATGAAAGAAGGAAACTGACTTCTACAAGTTGTTCTTCGAACTCCACATGCATGCCACAGGACACAACTTCTCCCCATTCAAATAAAAAAATAAATGTAAAAAATAATTAAGTAATAGGACAGGTGTAGTGAGACATTCCTGTAACCCCAGTACTCAGGAGGCTGAATCGCAAGGACCAAAATTACAAGAGCAGCCTGGACTTCATAGTAGAAGTAAAACAAATGAGCAAACAAGAAAGACACTGAATACGTAAAGTCAGAACTTCCAAAGGATGAAAACGACAATGCCCAAGATGGACATTTTTCTGAATAGGATTAACAATAGATTAGACTTCACAGAAGGTGACTTTGAAGACAGTATGAGAAATTATCCAAACAAAGTACATAGAGAAAAAAATATTTTTTTTAAATAAAGCAAACACTATCGATGAGTAATACCTTGAAGAGACTGAATTCACATGTAACTGGAGTCACTGAAGAAGAAAAATGGGGAGAGAAGAAACATATTTGACAAAGTAATAGCCAAATGATTTTCTAAGCGTGATTAAATTATAAACCCACAGATCTAAGAAAGGTCAATAAATGCCAAACAAGAGAAATAATGAAATTATTCAAAATGAGTAATAAAGGGAACCTTGGAAGGAGCCAGAGAACAGACGCATGTGAATACTGGGAAACAAAGCTAGTAGTTACCACTTAGTACTCACACAGAATCATGCCAACAAGAAGACAGAAGAGCCATGTCCTTATGGGGAGATGGATTTGTCCACCTAGAATTCTATATCCAGCAATGACATCTTATAAAAACAAAATTAGAAACAATACATCTTTAAATGACACATGAGTAAAAGAAGGAGCCACAGGTATCCTCCAAGTCAAAGGAAGATGACACAAGATGAAAACATGGTCGAGGGGCACACAAAGGGACTAAATCATCAAAACTTAGGCATCTGCATGGGTAAATAT